CTGATTGAATTAATTAGGTCTCGTTGATCTTTGTTATGTAATCCATAACTTGTCATAATGGTCAAGTTAAACTTTAAGCACCACTAACTACCAACGACTTTGAAACGCTCACTGAGCAAGTTATTGAAGCCTGGCAAATAATGTTGTCTTCATCATCAATAAAATATGCTCATCCAAGTGTTATGTTATTAAATGGGATATCTGAAAAGTTTCAGGGAAAAATTAAGTTACGGGTTTAAGCCAAGGATAACTTAGGGTTCAGTTAACCTAATAAAGGCGATATTGGGGTTGGTTCGATTTAGATTACAGTTAGTTTAGGGATATTTTCACGTTAGGGTTAGATTCAGGAAAGATTAGGGTTATTGATGGGGTTAGAAGACGTAAATAATTACATCCATAGAATGTGGTTGAATTACTTTGTTGATGCAAGAATAGTGCTTGTGCACTGTGGTAAAGTATGATTCCATTGTGGGTAAAAATGTTTTTGATAAAGTCTCAGAGTATTCTACAGTAATATTTGCTAAGCAATAAATTGTGCTCCAAATGGTCATTGGATTTCATCCCAACGACTGAACGGTCAAAGGAATAGCACTGAAAGCTAAAGATGCTGGTTTAGATTTCTGATAACGTCATGTGTTGGATGGATCGATGAAGAATCTCAAATAGGTACGAAAAGATTGTTTTAGCAGTAGTACCCCGTGGTTTTCAATGGTTCTATAACTCATATCAACTCATCAACTAACACTTGGAACTAATCAAATCCCTACAAACTGAAATTTGAAAAGTGTATTATCTGGGTGCGCAATGGTGAAGGGTCCCAAACTAGGACGGAGGAAACAGCTGTCCAGTACTCCTAGCTGGTTTTCCAATGGTTCTCTAACCAATATCAGCTCATGATGAAATCCTGTAACCAATCAACCGAATCCCTACAAACCAATACTTGTATTATCTGAAGTTGTTGAATTTAAAGAATACCAATGAGAAGGAATGTAATGCGTGTACAATAAACGAAAACATATTGGAGAGATAATAAATAAAACCTCTCACACTATCGGCTATTAAAAGACTTCTCCAGTTGAATTTACAATTCAATGAAGACTCAAATACTGAGAGACTGACTCACCCATTGCAGTAAACCTTCTTCGCGGTTGAACATCGAATAACTTTCTCCATAAAACCAATAATTCGCATGAACTTGAAGGATAAGCTACTACTGCTTACTGGCCTCATCAATGTGTGTCTACCAATTCACCAGCTCGTGTGGAGCCAAGTATGTCAGCTGTACGCGGAGTTTACTATCCAAACGTGTTATCGAACACTTACTCAAAATCATAGTTTTATAAAGAAGTAAAAAGATCGCCTCGCCACAACTCTACTCTCGAACACCTGATCGAATCTGGGCGTCAAGCTAACCCACCCACAAAGTAACTTCAAAGTTATCCACGCGGAATACGCGAGAATCTTGCTAAAACAGGCACGAACCAAACTTCTTCAAACCGAAGGGGCAATGGTATGTTAAATCCTGATATCTGCATACAAAGGAAGTTTGTTCAGTCACTAAATTTACAGTGGAACTGGATCTTTCGCAGCACTGGATACGTAATTTTCGTTTTTTTATTGTATTATTTTCTTCCCCCACTCCCCATTACCACTGCTGTTATTATTAACTTGAATCTCGTTCAATTTTAGTTGAATGCTACTCACTCCCGTCAATTATACTACGTTACTCATTTCACTTGTCTAATTTCATGTCAAGTTTTACCTGAATAACGCTTTTTATATTACGTGTTTTGTCACCTACGATTTACTTACAATAACTAGAAGACTAGTGAATATGTCTCCAGTGTGAGTGATATAACAAAGCGCGGTTAAATTTTGCGCTATTGCGAACGACTTTTGAACCGTCTCACCATCCCGAGGACTTCAACCAGGTAGTTTATATATCTCACTACGTGGCTCTAATCCGCAAATTCGCTAATTAGTCTAATTCTTTGTCTGATAGCTTCCAACTATTTTACAATCTAGTATCTTTTAAGCCGAAACTCCTCGAACGAGGTTTTTTTTTCAATATTTCTCGAGCTGAGATTTAGTCAGCTATCATCAGTCTATTAGAGTTGAAGCAAAACTTCTCAAATAAGTGAAACGGTCAACTAATTCACTACTTATCCTTCAACTAAGAGAGAGTGCAGGCCAGTCTTGCACCATCTTTCAATCTCATGCATGACATCTGTATTATTTTCCTTCAGGGAGTTCAAAAACTTTGTGTTATTATTATTATTATTCTTGAAAACGCTTAGCATTAGATTATTCTAAACTTTGCACTCTTCGAGATGAATCTCGTTGTCAGTATCCTTTAAGAGGAGATTGGTTCCCACTAAATTAGATCTTAGGCTGTCTCACTCATGACATCATGATGTCCACTCACTGACTCGGTGTGTGCTCGTGGTTGTCGTCTGAGTGACCAATTGACAACTGGGCTAGTCCACATCCATTCATTCTGCTCTCACAGATTCCCAGCGCTCCTATACCATATCGTCCCGTTTCTATGTCAAACTGGTTAGCCTTTCCAGCTTCGCACATTATACAAACATTCCATGTCCCCATTCTTACGCTTGCGTTCATCGAGAATAGATATATTGTTTGACTGGCTTCCTGAAGGCTTTCACTAACCTACGGCGTCATTTCACCTCTCCAATTCCAGAGAAGAATAAGTTTACTTTTTAAATTTTTTTCTTGTGCTTTGAAGATTCTGTAACGACTGGATTGATTTTCCGGGGTGAGGGGTCGAAAGCCCCACACCCCAACCTCCCTTCTCTACCCGGGTTTGGGACCGGCTAGAAAACTAGGCGTTTATATATGATTTGCGTACTCTTGGTCAATATGGCTTTTACTTGCTAATAAGTGAGTAGATGAGACATCAGAATCGATCGGTGTAGCTTCCATTAGTATATTTATATTACGATTAAACCAGATCGGTGACCTCTGATATATATATATATATATATTTATCAGAGGTCCTGCACTTTACTGGTCATTATCACCTCAAACAATGATCCTATACGAGCTTCTATACGACTACATGAGTTCAACTAGTGCATATTGATCGACAAAACACACTTTTTCTGGGTATTCCCAGACGAATGTTGCCATGGCATCTTTCGGTTGATGCAATCAAAATATTTTTATTTTTTAAATTTTATTATAACTTGACTCCACACAGTATTTTTGATACAAGTATAAAATTTTCAGCATGTGATATCGGTAGCCCAAATTTAGCAGGCCGACCACTGATATCAGGTGTCCGCCGGCCGGGGATAGAACCCCGGATCATGTACATGGTTGGTAAGCGTCCTAACCGCTGTGCCACCGAGGTGGCACATCTCGTAACTTGAATCGTATTGCATATAACGTCAAGCATTAGGTGTACTGTTGAAGAATCCCAAATTGCGACGAAACAGATATTCTAGGTATACGCCCAGATTTTCCACGGTTATTTAACTGATATCACCTCGTCATCTAACACCTGGAACTAATCAAATCCCTGCAAACTAACTCTTGAAATCTAATCTGATGCTCGCCAGTGACTGACTGGCTACAGAACAAAGTTGCTTGGAGTTCTACTGAAAAGTGAAGACCAATAGGGTGCACAAACAGGTCGTGAGTGAGGATTAATACTCGTCAACGATGACACTGGCTGGTACCATACACGCTGAAATCAAAAATTGGTAGGAGTTAGAATTCATGGGTTAACCAGTAAGTCATTTTCCAGTGACTGAATGGTCTACGAGCTACCTTGCCTTATAATCGGAAGGTCCTGTGTCCGAACCCCGATGAGTGCCAAACATGGACGAAATAGCTGGCTGTCGAGTATATTATGCTGGTTTTCGATGCTTCTTTAACTGATATCATCGCGTCATCTAACATTTGAAACTCACCGAATTCCTAGAAACCAACACTTGAAAGCGTTTCGTTTCCGTATGGAACATTTCAGTAGTACATACACACCCACACACACACACACACATGTTGTATGATTATTATTATCTGTAGGTAACAAGACATGTGCCACACGAAATCTCATAGTTTGTGCGAGGAATGACATACTAAACCGACGTCCAGATGGTCATCAATTTACCGACCATCCCCCAGGGACCCTTTAACTTTAAATCTAATCCACAAGGTAGTGAAACGGCGTCATAAGCTACATTCCCATGATTTCCATTGACTGAAACAGCCTTATACACCATTCGATCCTTTCAAATTCTGCAGTGCCCATGTACACCACAGGTTTGGAATCAGAGTTCCCCAACTCCTCCCCCCCCCACATGTAAGTGTCAGATGTTCAAGGATTCCACTTTTCACCTAGCAGAGGAGGCTATAAATGCGTAGCTACATGTAGCGAAAACGTTTCGAATAAAAGACTCACTTCCTGGTTGTACCAGGTCACTTAGGCGAAGGGGAAAGGGGCACAAACTCGCCGAAGCTCCAATTCACGCTCAATCTTAACAAGATCCACTTTGAAAGGAAGAACTCACTGCAACAAAACTCAAAGTAATTACTACTACTACTATCACTATTATTATTATTGTCATTCTACTTCAAAATAATTAAAGAAAATAATTCATTGCCTATACAGAGATAGATAGTACAGGAAAAAAAGAAATCTTCAGGACAAAATCGAAAACATTCAAAAAAACAATATGGCGTACAAATAAATCAATCAATAAAATTACATAAAATACATCTATCTATCTAGCAGTAAATATTCTTTAAAAAAATATATTTCCTTCTGAAAAAAGGAGGACTCAAAAGGATTACACTCACACACACACAAGTAGCATCCGAGTATGCGTACACACACAGGAGAGAAATTAAAGCAAACATACAAAAGAGAAAACCTGAAGATTACTCAACAAGTGTAGAAAAAAGAATTTTTCAAAAAAATATATATCCTTAAGAGAAAACATTAAAAAAAACAGAAAAATCACAGTTTCACTTATTTATACTGGAAAATTAATAAATTTTGAATTGACAAAAGCGCCTGTCTCCCTCCATAAATTATCATTCATTGGATACTTAGAATTCATAATTCTGATATTGGAACACTGAAATAAAATCAAAGATATATATATTAACACAATATTTAAATGAAAGAATATTGAATATAATATAAGAGAATAAAAGTACTTTGGATACTGTGGTCTTTTATAATCGATAGATAACCGGTTATCATGTCTACAAGAGGGGATAGAGATGTTGCAGGTCGACACGAGTGTTTCTTTAACTGTAGGTGTACACAAGTGAGAAACTCATTTCTCCATTCTCTCTTATTAAGGCTTAAAACTAGTAGAATGTTCTATTCTCTTATCCCCAGCCGATAACTGCTACCATGTCGTGGTGGTCGGGCTGGAATACCACAATGATCCAACAAGCTAAACTAACTGGGACTCTGTCTCTGTAGGTCCTACCATGTAAGGAAGGTTTTCTGGATAGCGGTTAAACTAAAAGCAGTTACCATGGAGTACATGGGCTCCAGTATCCAATCGGATCAAATGGCGTATGAACCCATATGGGTCGCCGGAAACCATGGGAATGCAGCTCATGACGCTGCTCCACTGCCTTGCGGATTAGACTCCAAGTCAAAGGCACGCGGAGTGGTCCTTTAATATAACCACCTGCTTCGGTTTGGGCGCCCGGGCAGTATCTTAGCCCTCACACAATGAATTGAACGAAGCAACAAACAATCAATGAAACTTATCGCGTGCTATTACACGTGTTGCAATTTCCTTCCTTCTTTCTTCCCTTCCCGATGATAGTTAACGAATACTGTTTGAACTTGTTAAGCATGACTATTTACCTTCCAAATGAAGTTCTTTATCCGTGCCATATTGTATCAAGTTTTTATGCGTTTAAATAAATAAATAATAATATTCTCTTATCGCATGTATTATTATCATCAGATGATTCAATAAATATACATAAAGTCACCGTGTCATTTTATCTCCTCTTTCACCCTGTTATACCATGTTTAAAGACGCTCACTTTATTTGCTGACTGACTGGCTGACTGCTTTCAACATAGAACTACTTTTCACCGCGATGTGCAGTAGTTCAACTCACCACACACCATGTAGCACACAAAGCCAAAGAAGACGAAGAAAGTAAAAGCGAATATAAAATACAGACAGTAAACAGAGATATTAGGCAAAAGAATAGTAATGTTGAAGGACTATATAGTTTTATTAGATATTATAAGTCACAAGCCAGTCATTAACAGCAATATTGAGCCATATCACCAGCCATGTCTCCAGCTTTCATTGGTTTTACTGTCCCGAGAATCCCAAGCAGTCAGGCAGTCTACATCTCCCTACATTACCAGTTCAAACTAACTTTTGTGGATTTTACTGATTGATGAAGCCATGTTTTGGGTTGATAACCAGTGGCTCTTTTCCAATCTGACCTCATGTCAGCTAACATTGCCCGTACTCGAGGAAGGCAATGGTCATTTCATTACCACGAACGCCGCCGCCTCCTGCCCCCTTTTCAAAATAATTTACAAAGTGAAGAAGACTACCTGTCAACTCTGCTTATGCATTGACTACTAATATTAACAACTATGATATTATGACAATTCATCATCACTTTTCTTACTATCCATGTTTTTTTCGCGAAAAACACTGAGGGAAATAGCATCATGATGTCAGTATACTACTGACTAATTAGTACGAGTAGTCAGGGACAATTTACACTAAACAATAGTGTATTTCACACATCATCATCAGACCTAAATGATTTTGCATGTTTGGAAAAGAAAAAAACCCAACGCCCATAGAACTCAATTCAACTCAAATCAATCGAATTCTCAACAAAAATCAATGATGCATTCGATTCCTGTTTATTGAGCTCCAGCTATTAATGTGTGTGGACAACTTGTGCGCTGTGGTAATAAGTAATTCCATATTGGTTTGTTTATTAGATATATCACACAGTGAAACAGCATTATTTACTGGATGACACACTTTCGAACACAATTTATTGTTCATAATCATACCAACTGTAATCACACGACTTTGGAACTTGGGTTTTATAGTTTTCTTTGTCCTCTCCTATTTGTCGTCGTAGGTGTGGTAGCAGAATTTTCCAGATATCCAAATGGAGAGGTGTTGAATCATTCCTAATACATGTGTTTGCAGTTGATTCGATAAACAAAGCTTCTGTTGCCATCAATCTCTCCCTCCACCCTGTTACATTAGATTTTAAAACTGTCATCCTATCCCATCCTATTGTATGGTTGTGTGTAACTGCATGTAATGCTATACCTGAAATATTCTCTAGATTTCTTATCTTGTTCGGGGTCAACCAATCTAGATATTTTGTTAGGTTTTTACGTTCGGCTAGTTTAACTGACTGCCCCTGTTCTACTAGTCTGACCTATGCATTTGACCTGACAATCACACTGGAAGGGTATCAGACAAACTACATTGTTCTGTTTCAAAGGCTCCACAGGATCCTTTAACCGACAAAGCCTGTTTCTGATTGAGTTTGTGGGTTTGAATGCCACTTATATTCTTGCCTTGATAAGAATTCTGGGTAAGCTATTATATATATATATATATATATATATATATATATATATATATATATATATATATATATATATCATGTGATTGCTTTTCTTACAATCTTATGCAATTCACCGTTGCTTTTATTTTAAAGTAATTTGTATTCCAGACAGTCGGAGTAGAGTAAATCGTCATAAAAAAAGGAAACTAAAATTGGTTGTTTGTAAAATAAGTAAATAAATAAAAAGAAAGAAAGCGAAACAAGATAAATACATCACTTTCGTTTTTATTTTCAATTATGTCTGAGTTCTCCGTTTTTCTCTCTCTCTCTGTCTCTCAACTCTTTTCCTCTTATGTTAGATCGTGGTATAATATGTTTGTTAATTTCCAAGGGTTTGTTTGTTGTAGGAGTTTGATTTGTTTTTTAAAGTTTGACTACGGATTGAGATATCAGTTTATGAAGTTACATCGATTAAGATGGTTAAGACATGGTGTTACGCATGCATCCCTTCCTAGCCATCGGTCACCTTCCTCGACAACAGGCAATGTTAGCTGATATAGGATCGATCAGGTTGGAAAAGAGTCAGTGGTGGTGAAACCAAAATATGGCTTCATCACTCAATGAAATCCAAGACAGTCAGTCTAAGGAGGAGTCATAAGGAGGTGTGTAGACTTCCTGGTTGAGGTCCTCAGGATGGTAAAAACTAATGAAGGCTGGAGACACAATTGATGATATGACTCAAAATCATTCTCAACGATGTAGATGCATTCACTTTTTGTGATTTGTTATATCCAATAAAACTCTATTATTGTTCTTCCATATTACAATTCTTTTTCCTTTAATCACACTTCTGTTTATTATCTCTCTCTCTCCCTTTCTTGAATCTATGCTTTCCCTATTCTCTTGCTTTGGAAGGAGAGTGACAACTTGAACTGCCGCACATCTGTGCAAAGTGCTACGCTACAATCAGCCAGTCAGTCGGTCACTTTAGAGAACCATTGAGAAAACTAGCAGGGAGTACTGCCAGATAGCTGTTTCATCCTAGTTTGGGACTCATCGTCGCCAGTACGCACCCACTGATGAAATACTTGAAAAACCAATCAAATCCCTACAAACTAACATTTGAAAAATATTTTGACGCTCGCTAGTCACTGGCTCTTAAAGACAACGTTGCTTTCAGTTCTAGTCAGAAGGTGTGGATCAGTGAAATGATTCACAAAGCAACAAGCTGGGATGACCGTGGTTTGTAACAATCAGGGTAAAAATCATGAATTGGTAGAGATTAGAATTTATGGGCTGGCCATTTGAATCAGGTTCCAGTGACACGGAATGGTCGACGAGTTACCTTGCTTTGTAGGTGCAAGACCCTAGAGTTCGAATCCCGGTGAGTGAGTGCTACAAATGAATCTAAAACTGGGATGAAATAGCTGGTTGCCCAGTACTCCCCAGTTTTCAATGTGTTGGCAGTATTGAGGTTAAATGTCGAAGGTTAGGTAAGAAGAGTTAAGATGACTAGGACACGTGTCACGCATAACAAACTACCGCCTTCCTTGTCGAGCAATGTTAGCAGCTGAAAAGAGTTACAGGGGGTGGTCGTCAAATAAAAACCTAGCAACAATCTATTCCCGTTTTTGACAGATGATCTGAGTTAGCCGTGTAGGGACATCAGTGTAGACTATCTGGTTGGGATCATCGGAACACTAAAAATTCAATGACTGGAGATTTTCGGTGACGTAACTACGCATTATTCTCTCAAAGGTGTAGATCAATTCAAATGATTAGAGCTTCATAAACATTCCATGAGGAATACAGTTTTATGAATACAAAAGGAGTAATATTGGATATCATTGTTTCTGACTTTCGAATCTCATATGTTGACTTGATCCTTCGTTCTAAGTGGCGCAGATGCATCCACTCCTTGTGACTTATGATCTCCAATGAAACTGTTTTGTTCTTCGTTATTACCCCCTCCTTTGTCTCACACCTCTGTTCACTGTCTCTATTATGCTTTTCTTGTACTTTCTTCTCTTGCTTTGTGTGCTACATGGAGGGAGTGTGGCGACTTGAACTTCCGCACATTTGTGCAAAGTTCTATGTCGAAAACAGACAGACAGACTTGATCCTTATTATGTGTTTTCGTCCCGCCATGTTTGATAGTTAATTTTAATGCTTCTCATTGTGGTTGAGAATACACTGATAATGTGTTGTTTTACTATGCGACAGTCTCCCGGAACGGTTGGTGTGTGATTCTTGTTATTATTAGTAGTATTTCCTTTAATTCCTAGCGGAACATAGAGATTCAGCTGCACGCCTCCATTGCATTCGGTCTTCTGCCAACTTTTTCACCCCGCCCCAAGTCTGCCCGCATACTTTCGTCTCCTCTTCACATGACCTCATCCTCCATGTCACCCTTGCACTGACGACCAACTCACCGCTTCCCATTCGGGCTCCTCTCAGGTGATGACTTGGTGTGTGATGTCACTTGATGGTTTCCTCAGATTATGGCCAATCCATCTCCATTTCTTCCTGCCTATTTGTTTCACAATCGGTTCCTGGTTGATTCGCTCATTGCCAGAGATTCCTGTTGCTGATCTTTTCTGACTGGCCATCTGATCATGAGTAGTATTGAGCGAAAGCAGCTGTTGATGAAGGTCTGTAGTTTGTTTAAGGTGCTCTTTTTGACGCGCAGTGCAAGTCTCTGATCCGTATAGTAGCACTAAGTTCACATTGGAATTGAAAAGCCGGATCATATTTTTGATGCTGAGTGCTGTTGACCTCCACACACGTCGGTGGCACAGTGGTTAGGACTCTCGCCGACCACGCACATGGTCCAGGGTTCGAGCCCTCGCCGACGCACACCTGATATCTATGGTCGGCCTGCGAATTTTGGGCTACCGATATCCACGCTGAAAATTCCATACTTGCACTGAGAATACGGTGTGGAATCAAGCTGTAATCAAAACATTAACATTAAAAACATTAAAAACTTGAAAGCAATGAAAGTTTGTCTTGCTTTAATATCCTCACCAGTTCTGTCTGTCTACAGTTGAAACGATGCTTTCCAAGTAGGTAGGTAGGTAGGTAGGTAGGTAGGTAGGTAGAGGAGGTTGTTTCTTTCAGGCTCCTCCAATTTATGCTGATTGTTGTTTGTTGTTGTTGTTGCTGTTGGCTAGGAATCTTTGTCACCTCTGTTTCATCTATGTTCACCTGAAGTCCTATCTTCTCTGGGTGTTTCTTCTGCCAACTTGTTGCTCTTCACTTGCATATCTTCCAATTTGTGGGAAATCAGACATATATCATCATCGGCAAAGTCCAGATCCTCAAAGTTTTTTGTGTGAGTCCATTTTATGCCTGTTTCCTCGCTGCCCGCTGTCTGTCGCATTATCCAATCTACTGCAATCAAGAGAATCATTGGCGACAGCAGGCAACTTTGTCTTACTCCCGTCTACACTTCTTCGAAGGATTCCGTGAGTTTCCCGTTGTGGATTACTTGGCATGAACATTGTCGTACAACTGTTGGATGAGATGTATAATTGTCGGCGGCACCCCGTAGTAGCGCAAGTAGTAACACAAGAGTAACACAAGTGCGACAGTGGCACAAAGGTAGAATGCTCGCTAACCACGCAAATGGTCCAGGGTTCGATCCCAGGCCACGGACGCACCCTTTTACTTCGCTAAGTCAGTAATGAGACTGGTGAAGAGGGGAGGTTGGGCATCAGACTAGCGATCCCATACCATCAAAATAAACACCACTACTGCTAACGAAACTTCAAGCCTCTAGCTTTAAGGTGCCCTATGTTCCACTGTGAACTTAAAGGAATAAAAAGAAAAACGGTAACACGCAATGATCCTTTTCCAGCGTTTACATCACTTCTAGTCAATTTTGGTCGGTACATAGGTTACTGAAAGTGACATAGAAATGACTATTATTATAATCGAATTAATAAGTCTTCTCTCGAGGGAATATTTTCTCAAATGGAAATCAACTTAACCAATATGTTCAACTCACAGAACACACAAAACAAAAGACTACGAAAACCAACTGATATACAACATAACGACTAATCAAAATGTAAACTAATCCCTACAAACCAATATTCGAATATTAATGAGATGCTCACTAGTGTCTTGCCCTATTCAGATAGGTAGTTACCTGGGGTTCTAGCGAGAAGTCGGGACCAGTAGGGTACAGCAGGTCGGGTATGAGGACAAATACTCGACAGCAATGACACGTGCTAGTGCCAGCCGTGCTATGTTGTGAATTGGTAGAAGTTGGAATTCATGGGCCGTTGGATCGAAAGTATCCCAGTGGCTTAATGGTCTACGAGCTCACCAGCCTTGCAACCAAAAGGTTCTGCGTTTGAACCCTGTTGGTGGGTGCGTACTTCTGGAGAGTTCCAAAGCACTAGAACGAAACAACTGTCCAGTACTTCCAGGTTTTCCAATGGTTCTCTAGCCGACGTCAGCCCACGATGAAATCCTGTGGCCAATCAAATCAAAATTCCTACAAACCAATACTTGAATAATCTACTACAGTGCTAGCAGGATACATAGATACATACATACACATAGACACGATATGTGAAAGTCGATAATAAAACTCAAATTAGAAAATTGAAGTATATTAGAACAGGCTGAAACATGTAGCTTAACTCATCATGTTTGTTATTTTTCTATCTTATGACTAGCATTCATTCAACTTGATGAAAGGTGAGTATAGGTGAGTATATAGGTGAGTAAATAGGTGGGTAATAGGTGAGTATATAGTTAGGTGAATAAATATAGGTGAGTAAATCTTCATTAATGTTCACACTTGCACACACCTTTTTGTGAGAAGTAATCTCTGTTTTTGTTTGAAATCAAAACCCACCACATATTATTTTTTATACACTATCATATATCGTATGAGGCTTGATGAAACTGGCTGAATGACTGACTGGTTTCAACACAAAACTACTTTGCACCGCGATGTGCAGCAGTTCAATTCGCCACACTTCCTCATTGTAGCACACAAAGCAAGAGAAGAAATACAAGGGATATGAGACAAAAGGAATAGCATTAACGAAGAACCATATAGTTTCATTGGGTATTATAAGTCACAAAGAGCGTATGCATCTCCGCCAGACATTGACAGCGATTTTGAGCCATATCACCGATTGTCTCCAGCCATTGGCTTTTACCATCCTGAGGACCCCAACCAGGATGTCTACACTTTCCTACGTGGCTAGTTCAAACTAACTTTTGTGGATTTCATTGACTGATGAATCCATGTTTTGGTTTGACGGCCAGTGGCTCTTTTCCAATCTGACCTTATGTCAGCTGACACTGCCTGTTGTTGAGGAAGGCAATGGCTAGGTATGTCTTAACCAGCTCAGATGAAGCAGCTTCGCAGCCTCGTCGATTAATTTCTCCGCCTTCTTGATGAAACTACTCAGTCAGTTGCTTAGACCGAAAGAGATACAGTGAGACCACCCAAACCCGTGAGCCGTTCGCTGTAAACCGAGTTCTAGGAGAGCTAAGGAGCCAGATTTCTACAAGAGTTATCGATACTGCGCATTCCTAATAAAGTTCAAATCAATAATTTTCTTCAGCCAATAATCTACAACACTAAGTCCAATGTCACTGCCTTGACGCGGAGGCGAGGCGGAGTGTTTTTCACAGAAGTGGAAGGGCGAATTATCGAACGTCTTCTGGTGCTTACAACTGAACTGACTGTTGGACATACAGGTGGTCTATCTAGTGGGGGAAGGGTTGAAAAGCTAATTCTAAACTTATGGTGTACATGACCTCTAGAATCTGGACGGATTGAATAATGTATGAATCTGTTTTGGTCACCAAGACCCATAGAAAGCTAGTCTCTGACGTTATTCCACCGCCTTGCAGATCAAATATGAAGTCGGGGAAAGTGTGTGGTCCCTTTAGGCAATCACCTGCTTTGGTTTCAGCGTATACAAAGCATCTCAGCTCTCGCACAAGCAATGAGATTTTGTGCGGCACACCTCTTGGTGCTCATAAAATAACATATTTATGATTTGATAAGTAATACAAGCAAAAATGTGACGGAAAAAGAATCATTACATGGAAAAATAACAGGGATTTACTGGATATGGCAGGTTACACACAGAGTGAATGAATCTGTGCCATCACTGAGAACGATTTCCAAACATACCACCAGTTGTCTCAACGTTTCATTGGTTCTTAACATCCCGAGGACCCCAACCAGTCAGACAGCCAGTTTACACCTCCCTATGTGTCTGGTTGGCTGGCTCAAGCTGACTGTTATGGATTTCATTGACCGATGAAGCCATATTTTGGTTTGATCAACCTGTCAGCTAACACTGACCACCGTAAAAGGAAGACGATGGCTAGGCATGCGTAACACATGTCCTAACAATCTCAATCGATGTAACTTCACAATCTCGTCAATTGATTTTCCACCCTTACCACCAAACACTAGACCGAAGCCTAACCACATCAATATTACTCACCCTGTTATTATTATACCACCTAACAACACAGGAAACTGAACATAGACACAGACAGCTATCTAGATAAAGACAAAAGTACAAGAAGAAATCGAAAGAAACTTACGGAAGTATTGACAGATTTATTATTACCCTGAGAATTATTATTGGATGAGAAAGGATTCTGGTAAAGAGTTTGTAGCATATCACGAATTCGCTTGATTGGAAATAAGTGCGCCTGTGTACTGAACACATAGTCATGTTCATTTTTATTTACAGGATTGGATTCATCGAACAGCTTCATATTTTTTAGGGGGAGGGGGAATCAAAGGATAAGAAATGAAACTTATTCATTAGTTTATATATCATATTATATTATTTGAAAAGAAACGTGGTATAAGGACAAAAATGAATGTTTGAAAATGCAAAATTTTTTTAATCTTCACGTGTTGGTTTACACAGAGATTTGATTTGATTCTATTTTAAGTCACATGAACGAACCTGAAAGAAACAACCTCCTTTACCTACCTACCTGTTAAGCATCGTTTCAACTACAGGCCATCGGAATTGACGAGGACATTAAAGCCAGAAGCGGAAAAGCAAGACAAGCCTACATTACTCTTAAGTCTGTGTGGAGGTCAACAGCATTCAGTATGAAAAATAAAAACCAGATTTTCAACTCCAATGTGAAGTCAGTGCTACTCACGATACGGATCAGAGACTTGCACTGCGCGTCATAAAGAGCACCTCAAAAAAAACTACAGACCTTCATCAACAGCTGCCTTCGTTCAATACTACTCAAGATCAGATGGCCAGCCAGAAAAGATCAGCAACAAGGAGGGATCTCAGGGAGCGAACCAACCAAGCCAGCAGGAACCAGTTGTGCAAAAAATAAGCAAGAAGAAATGGAGGTGGATTGGCCAGGCCATCATCAAGTGACATCACTAGACACGCCATTTCTCGAGTGGAACCCGAAAGGGGAGCGGCCAACTGGTCGTCAGTGTGAGGGTGACTTGGAGGAGGTCATGCGAAGAGGAGATGAAAGCATGTGGGCAGACTTGGAGTGGGGTGAAAAAGTTGGCGGAAAACCGAAGGCAATGGAGGTGCGCAGCTGAAGCCCTGTGTTCCTCCAGGAATTAAAGGATATAATAATAATAATAATATAATAATAATAATAATAACGAACTCTGACAACCGTATCAGACAACCATGAAGTACTACTACTGTGGTGAGAGCTGGCTGTTTGTCCAAATTGGTGGACAGTAATTTACATCAATGTTTATGTCCCCAATATTGGCTGTGAGAAAAATGAGAACAAAGGCTTTGCGTAGGTGGACAAAGTTAACATATAGATGATCTGACATTCAAGAAACAGCCACAAAGAAATCAAAGGTTACCTTTCAGTGAGAAACAACTAATCAGAAGACTGTGTTTTTCCGATAACAATAATCTATAAAATGTACATGAAAATTTATAAATATGTGTTGATTTCCTTAATAAACGATCTGTTGCCTGTTCCTTGTTTTCTGTTGTTACACTACCACTACTACTAATACTGAATGGCTCTTCCGACCTAGTTCGAGGAACTTGTGGTCTGAAGTTCCTAAGTTCATTTCTCGGTCAAGGCAGCCCATGGGTGAGTACTGGAGAAGAACCCTCCCGCCACTTCAATTTCAATAGCTGTCTAACTGACGTCACTCCAAAACAAGTTAGAACACAAAAGAAGATCATTGGCGAATGAAGTCCGTTGGACCAACAGTTCTACTCCGATTCTACGGAAGACTGAAAATATACAAACCAAGCATTCGATCACGACCAACTCCCAGGGAACTCAGCATACAATTTATCCGAGGAACTATACAGAAAACTGAAACATTTGACAGAATATTGAGGCAACTCCATCAAATCTGCAATCTAATTCCTACAGAAAATCAAAGATATGCACAAATAGGTGACCAAAAAATAATGGTGTCCTTCAAGGTCACAGCGTGATATACTTCGATTGGATAGAAACTAGCAAAGAAACCATGGAGAAATTACTCAGCAACGACGAACACTTCCCACAACACTCAAGTTGGTTGGAATGCATAAACCTAGGTCTAACAACACATTTTCAATTCAACGGCAAAATATATGAACAAATTAAAGGGACACCTCTATGGGATCACCCATATCAGGTTTGACTGCAGGAGTTGTTATGTGCAAAAACTTGAAAACATAATCCTAACGAAGATCAAACCCAAAAGTTCGATACGTTATGTGGATGAATCATTCGTGATAATTAGAAGACACGACCCAGAAAAAACTGACAACTTAATAAACAACATCTTCAATGACATCAAATTCACAAAAAAAGATGAATCTGAGAGCGAAATTCTATTTTTGGACTTCTAAGACAAACGAACAACTAACTACAGGAAAATTTAACACTCAAGTTAACAGAAAGTCAACCCACACAGATCAAATGCTTAAGTACAACAGCAACAACGCAATAACACACAAAAAAGTTGCATAGAAACAGTATTCAAGAGAGCCATGACTCATCGCTGCACTCCTACCCCTTGAGGAAAATTGAAGAAAACTATCTTAAGGACGTCTTCCAAAAAACAATGTGTATCCATGATACTTCATCAAATCACATCTGCGCCCACAACCTAACGAATCGAATCAAAGGCACTCAATGAAAACACAAAGAAAATCGTCCGACCTCATATAAAAAACATCTCAGAAATTCCTGCACGACCGTTCAAACCAAGCCTTTCGGAATTGATGTCGTCTATAAACCAATAAAATCACTTTAACCGGCTCCATGTCACAACCAAAAGACTCAACAGCGAAAGGAGGCCAAACCAACTGCAACATCTATGAAAAACATTACAGTGGTCAAAGTGGACACCCTTTTCATTTTAGCATCCATGAGTATTAACTGACCAGAGTTAATAATAATAATAATAATTTATTATTATTTTGTTTCTAATTCTTTTTGACCAGCTGGCCATCTGATCTTTAGTATGGAGCCAGAGAAGTCAGCTATTGATAAAAGTATTCAGCTGGTTCCTGGATATGCTTTTCGTAAAGCGCAGTGCAAGTTTTTGACCCATAGAGAAGCATTAACTTAACACCGAGTGCAGACTAGGACGTAACATATGCGCCCAATACTGCCTGGTCACTTTCAATAGTTCCCCAGTTGATGTTAGTTTATAATGAAATGTAGCTTCGAATTTAATCTCAAATATGCCAACAAATCGACCTACCTCCACCCTCCTTGGAAATATGCATTAATGCTGTAGATTTCAAGATATCCTAAAGTACACCATAAAATAAACAGTCAGTCAGTCAGTGGTCAGATCGGGGGTATTTCTTATCTATTTCAAAAAACATATACAGTGTTAAAACATCTGATACTACAAACTCTGAGGTGTTTAGTTTCATAGCCAGCTATTATCGTTATTATTATTTAAATGAATCAATAAATCGACAAAACGTACCAAATAAAGATATTTTAATGTTTCACTTAGAAAAAAGCTTTCCATACGATCTTCTTTCGATTTATCTATAACATTGTGAATAGTTGCATATCCACATCTGGAAATGAAGACAAAAAATAGAAGAATGATTATACATATGTATTCAATGAAAGTATCATTTATGCAATCAAGTAATGTAGGTGAGGAAAAAATACAATTCTGCAATTAATAGTGTTCTCTGAGCTGGTTGGTTTAGTTATGGAGTTTTCGTCGTCCTTCTGGGCAACATATTGCGCTGAAGATGTTGTCCAGAAGGACGACGAAAGCTCTGTAACTAAACCAACCAGATCAGAGAACACTATTAATTGTAAATCCCGGCCGATAAATGTTACCTTACCGTGGTGGTTGTCGGGCTTGAATACCACAATGATCCAACAAGCTAAACTAACTGGGACTCATGTCCCTGCAGGTCCTACCATGTCAGGAAGGTTTTCTGGATAGCAGATAAACTAAAAGCAGTTACCATGGGGTACATGGGCTCCAGTATCCAATCGGATCAAATGGCGTATGAACCCATATGGGTCACCGGAAACCATGGGAATGCAGCTCATGACGCTGCTCCGCTGCCTTGCGGATTAGACTCCAAGTCAAAGGCTCGCGGGGTGGTCCTTTAATATAACCACCTGCTTCGGTCTGGGCGCCCGGGCAGTATCTCAGCCCCCATACAATAAATCAAATGGAGCAACAGCTCAAGTCGATGGCTCAAAACGTTGTCGGATATGGCCAAGAATCGTAATCAATGGCGAAAGTGTTGCAATTTCCTTCCTTCTTTGTTCCCTTCCCGATGATAGTTAACGAATACTATTTGAACTTGTTAAGCATGACTGTTTTCCTTCCAGATGAAGTTATTTATCCGCTCTCTACTTATATTTTTTTCTTTTCTTTCTTTTTTCTTTTGATCTATGTTGTTTTATTATTATTGTGTGGCGTATCCGTCTTGGTGCCATATTGTACCAAGTTTTTATGCGTTTAACTAAAATAAATAAATTAATTGCAAATCATCCACCTGAGCTACGAATCTTCTCTATTATTTCAAAATACAATTCTAAAACACACTGGAACCTGAAGAAAAACAGGTAGGCCGCAGGTAAAAGAGACCTTAGAACACTCACTATATGTTAGATAACTACCAGGTCTCTATATGAATGGCGGAAGATATCAACACAAACGATGAAGTCAATAACCAAGATGATCAAGGGGACCTAATTATCAAAGAGGAGAGACAAATCAAAACAATGCGCTGATCACTTTAAAGGACTCTTGAGTCGACCATCACCTGCAACTCATCCAGAAGTACCACCAGCAGGACGCGCACAAAGAACTGACAATGAACACCAATACTCCAACAAACGAGGACACTTTTGAAAGCAATTAAACTACTGAAGGCCAGCTGGGAAGTCAGCGGGACGAGATGGAAAACGGATACAAAGAGTGAAGCGGATATGCTGATGCGATTATTGCAAAAACGTCTGGAAGGAAAAGTGTCTACCGGCTGGAAGAAAGGCTGGCTTCTTTATCAAACTACCAAAAAAAGGGTAAATTAGGCACCTGCAGAAATGGTGCGGAGTCATGCTCTTGTCCACGCCAAGTAAAATACTAAGTCGCGTTATCTTAGAGGGAATAAAAGATCCATTGGATGCAGAACTCTGCCAACCACTGCAACAAGCTGGATTCAGGAAAGGCAAAACATGTGCTGATCAAATTGCAACTCTACACATCGTCATCACAGAATAAAGCATAGAATGGCAGTCAAACCTCTACTTCAAATTCATCCACTTTGAAAAGGTCTCCGACAGCGCTGACCGCGAAGTAACTCGGAAACTAATTCAACCCTATGGAGTGCCTCAAATCTTCATCAAGCTCATTCAACAATTATAATACAATGCCACATGTTGACAGATTTACAACGGAAAACTACTCAGTGAGCCCTTTGAAGTGAAAAAAGGAGTAAGACAAGGCTATCAGCCTACAATCACAGATGATATTTTTAACTGTGATGGGCTGGATTACGCGTTAGACAGAGGGTGGGGAGCGAGAACAGGAACAGTTTGAACTAATAAGAATACAGAAGATTTGGACTTGGCAGACGATTTAGGTCTGATGTCAAACAAACTCGGAGACTTACAGGCGAAAATCAACAAACCGGTAGAAGAAGCAGATGACGAAGGCAGGACTTCATGTGGACATAATAAAGCAACCAACTAACAACAACACCAAGTGTCAACCACTATCAATGTGAGAAATTTGAAAGGAGCCACTTCCTTCACTAATCTAGGCAAAGTGATTTCGACTACAGGCAGCCTGGACGGTTGAAGATGTCAAAACTAGAGTCGGAAAGGCGAAACAGATCTACATCACTCCGAAGTCAGTTTCGAAATCTACTGCGCTCCATAACATGAAGAATAAAACTCGGATTTTTAACAATAATGTTAAGTCAGTCAGTTCTTTCATATGGGCCAGAAGCTTGATTAGCATGTCACGAAAATTATTTCTAACATGCTAGTTCAGACTTTTTACTAAAAGCTGTCTTCGCCAACTCGATAGTGAAGATTAAATAGCCAGCTGGTTAAGAAAGAATTAACAACAAGAAACTCCAGTAAGCGGAGAAGACAATATGAAAGCTCTCCTCAAAACTATCTAGTAACGCAAAAAAAATTAAGAGGAACCTAAAGAATGCGGATTTTCAATTCCAATATGAAGTCAGTGCTAATATACGGATTAGAAACTTGCCGGGTCATGAAGAGTACTTCAAACAAACTACAAACCATCAATAGCTGTCTTTGCTCAATACTACTCAAGATCAGATGGTCCAGCCAGAAAAGACCAGCAATAGGGATCTCTGGAAACGAACCAACCCAACAGGAACCAATTGTGCAACAAATAAGCAGGAAGAAATCAAGGTGGATTGGCCATATTCTGAGAAAACCATTAAGTGGCATCACACACCAAGCCATCACTCAAGTGGTACGCGAATGGGAAGCGGCGAGCTGGTAGTCAGTGCGAGAGTGACATGAAGGAGGTCATGCGAAAAGGAGATGAAAACATGTGGGCAGATGTGGAGCCAGGTAAAAACGTTAGCAGAGAACCGGACGCAATGGATATGTGCAGCTGAGTTCTAGGTAAACAGGGGAAATCAATCGACGAAGTCGTGAAGTTACAAAGACTGAGATGGTTAGGACATGTGTTACGCATGGTAGCCTAGTCATCGCCTCCCTCGACAACAGGCAATGTTAGCGGATATAGGGTCAGGCTGGAAAAAAGCTAGCGGCGGTCAAACAAAAACTTCGCACCAGTCAATGAAATCTACAACAGTTGGTCTAAGCCATGTAGGAAGGTGTAGGCTTCCTGGTTGGGGACCTCGGGACGGTAAAAACCAATAGTTGGAAACACTTGGTGACATGGCTCAAAATCCTTTTCAGTGGCCCAAATGCATCCACTCCTTGTGACTTATGATCTCCAATGAAACTGTTTTGTTCTTCGTTATTACCCCCTCCTTTGTCTCACACCTCTGTTCACTGTCTCTATTATGCTTTTCTTGTACTTTCTTCTCTTGCTTTGTGTTCTACACGGAGTGTGGCGACTTGAACTTCCGCACATTTGTGCAAAGTTCTGTGTCGAAAACAGACAGACAGACAGCAGATGAAGCCGTATGTCCCTCCAGGAACTAAAGAATTGTGTGTATTTTTATTTATTATTTTATTCCTTCACGTCCCGAGTGGGACATAGGGCCTCAAGGTAAAGCTTTGAAGGTTCGATGGCAGTGGTGCTTTGTTTTTCTTATTTTTATGGAGGATGGGGTTGCCAGCCTTAAGCACAACTTTACTAACGCTTAAGCAAGCGAGTGATGTTAGGCAGTACGTCAGTGGCCGAGGATAGAACCGCAGACCACGTGTTGGCGTGGTTGTTAAGCGTTTTCCATATAATGATAGAAAATCAAAGAGTTACTGTTGACACGTTAATTCTTTATCACATGACTAAAATGACCACCAGATCAAATTATTTCTGGAAATAACAATAATAAGTAACCTAATTACCATTTCTCATGAGAGACAAAAAAGAAAAACAAGAAGGAGGGAACTTACTCAGCTCGTGTATACTTATTTAAATCATCGATAATCTGTTTACCAACATGTAAATAAAAAGGATGTTTTGTTGCTCTATACAAAAAATATGTCGATTCAGCAAACTCTGGTCGCAGGGGATAGAAAGATAATTCAGGTTTCTCTGTCATTAGATTATAACGTTCTGGAGGTAGATTATGTATTTTCCAAATAAAATAATGAATAGCATGATGACAGATTGCTTCGCTTAAATCACCATGAAGCACCTAAAAGATAAAGAGATAAAGAAAGAAGAAAATATACAATATATGAAATAAGAATGCTTTTTTTAGAGGGAGGAGGAATATACTACTGAATAAAATAAGTAGTTAAGGATTAGCTAATCTCAACATCCGAATTTCATGATACAAGCGGTTGATTCAGCATTACTACCCAAAGCTGAATATGTGCTGCTGTAGAGCCAGACAGGCACTGATTGGTTTCAACAATGAACTTTGCTCAGTTGTGTACCAGTTCAAGTTGCCACACTTCATCCACTTACTACACAAAGCAAGAAAAGACAGTAAAGAGAGACACTAAACAGAAGTGTGAGGGAGAAAGAAGAGTAATATGGAAGAAAAATATAGTTATATTGGATATAACCAATCACAAAGAGTGAATGCATCTTTGCCAGACATTTAGAGAGATTTTCAGCGGCACTAACAATTGTCTCCAGCCTTCATTGGTCCTCAGAATCCGGAGGACCCCAATTAGTTAGACGGTCTACACCTCCCTACGTGGCTGGCTGGTTGGCTGGCTTAAACTAATTGTTATGCACTCTATTGACTGATTTCATAATTTTGTTTGGCCACCACTAACTCTTTTACAACTTGATGTATCCAATGTTAGCTAACATTGACCGCCGTCAAGGAAGACGATGGCTAGTCTGCATGTGTAACACATGTCCTAAAAACCTGAACAGCTGTAACTTCACAATCTCCTCGATTAATTTCCCCTCCTTACAACCTAACACTAGACCGAAGCCTAACCACATCAATATTACTCATCCTATTACACCTACTACCCAACACGGCAGGCAGAACACAGACACCAATTATGATCAAAGACAACTCGCCAGACATTTCATATCTCCCACTTTCAGTGATCATATATCCCACTCACAGCCATTACAGGAGGACGGAGAGAACTGCTGCTGCTGGGAAGTACACTGGTCCTTTGATCGACAGCCAGTCGGATATCACATCTACACCAGAGATGGTATAAGTTGGCGAATGTCAAACGAGCCTGCTGCTGAGATTTTGTCAGCGATCCACTTGCTGGAGCTGAAGTAACAAATTAACTTATAACCCAAAGGCATAACTTTGATGAAAAGTGAGAACAATCTTATAATTTAAAAATTCCTTTTATTCAATTTGAATAAGGCATTAAGAAGACATATTTCGCGAGATGATATCATTTCGTAATTTCTTTACAACTGCTTTACAACTAACATGGTTAACAATAATAAAGTTCATGACAATTACTCAGTTAAATAAAAACAAAAGTACATACTAATGACCAATCATATTTGCCTGTCTGTCTGTTTTCGACATAGAACTTTGCACAAATGTGCGGAAGTTCAAGTCGCCACACTCCGTGTAGCATACAAGCAAGAGAAGAATGTACAAGAAAAGCATAATAGAGACAGTGAACAGAGGTGTGAGACAAAGGAGGGGGTAATAACGAAGAACAAAACAGTTTCATTGGAGATCATAAGTCACAAGGAGTGGATGCATTTGGGCCACTGAAAAGGATTTTGAGCCATGTCACCAAGTGTTTCCAACTATTGGTTTTTACCGTCCCGAGGTCCCCAACCAGGAAGCCTACACCTTCCTACATGGCTTAGACCAACTGTTGTAGATTTCATTGACTGGTGCGAAGTTTTTGTTTGACCGCCGCTAGCTTTTTTCCAGCCTGACCCTATATCCGCTAACATTGCCTGTTGTCGAGGGAGGCGATGACTAGGCTACCATGCGTAACACATGTCCTAACCATCTCAGTCTTTGTAACTTCACGACTTCGTCGATTGGTTTCCCCTGTTTACCTAGAACTCGACGCCTAACCTTAATGTTGCTCACCTTATTATACCACTTCACACGGGAAACAGAACGCAGGCATCTATGATCAAAGACAGCTAGACAATCTTTTCATGTCTTCCACTCTCAGTTGCCAGGTATCACAGCTAGCCATAAAGGAGGACAGAGCGGACTGATGAGCAGTACACCCGCCCTTTGGTCGATAGTCGGACATCTCGTCTACACCAGAGTCGGCGTAAACTGGCAAATGCGAAACGAGCCCCCTGTATTCGTGTTGAGATTTCGTCAGAGATCAACCCGTTGGCACTGGCTGATGGTACTTCCCAAATAAGTGAAGCGATCAACGTACTCTACCACTTCACTTCCTATTTTTAAACTAGGCGTCGATGTAGTCCAGTCCTGTAACATCATCTTGCATTTGGTGGGAGCAAATCGCATGCCAAACATTCGTAGATTGCGGCTGCTACCCGACCGAAAGCTGCTACCTTGACGTGGTGGTCGGGCTTGAACACCGCAATGACCTAATCAAGCTATACTGGCTGAGACTTTTGTCTCTTGAGGTCCTACCATGCCAGGCAGGTTGTTTGGATAGCGGTTAAAACAAAAAGCAGCTACCCAACCCACCATTATGATACAAACAAAATTACAAAATTTCATGCCACATCGGCCGTGGCCCGGATTAACAATCATATTTAAAAGGTCATGTAGTCCATGGTAGGCGAAAACTGCAGTCTATTGATTTTTGTACACTCAGTTTAGGCTGTATTTGATTTATCCAAAGTGCTTCCATCACCTTCAATAATCTTGAATTAGAGTTATGTGAAATAATTGTGAAACAGTCATTAATATTGATTTGTGACCAGACATTAATGAGTGTTTTGCAATGGATGATGTGCTTCGGTGGCATAGCAGTTAGGACGCTCGCCGACCATGCATATGGTCCAGGGTTCGATCCCCGGCCGACGCACTCTTTTACCTTGATAAGCCAGAAATAATACTGGTAAAGAGGAAAGGTTGGGCATGAGGCTAGCAACCCCATCAAGTAAAATAAAAAACACTGCTACAGAAACTTCGAGCCACTTGCTTGAAGACCTATGTTCCACTGGGGAACGTGAAGGAAAAAAATGGATGATACTGGATTTCTATTAAGATTAATCGCGTTGGGATTCTCGATATGATTTAGTAGCCATTTTGGAACATGTTCTTTTCGACGACATCGGAACATTCTGTTGGTTCTACCTATATAGGTGTCACCGCAGCTGCAGGTGAACTTGTAGATACAGTTGGAAGTAGAGTTCACAGAATTTCCTCCTTTAATCGTAGGAACAGGGATCGAAAATGTTCGGCAAGTGAGAAAAAGAGATGCGGCGCAGAATGTGCGTTTGACCGAAGTCTTTGAGCTGTCAACTGCATAATCTGGTCGCCCTTAAATGGTAGGTTAACAAAGGTAAATAGCTTTCTTTGATACAGAAGCTGTCTTTTCGAGATGCGGTTTTTCTTTACTGTGACAAGTGATAAAGTTCTCCGGATAACCTTTAGCTAATAAAACTGAATGTATATGTCGAAACTCATACATCAATGTGTCACTCATGCATATTTTTCGGGCCGTTGAGAACAAACATTTCACTAGGGAACGTTTATACTGGATAGGAACAAGGCTGGTAAAATGAAGATATTGTCCACTCCATGTCTGTTTACGAAAAATAGATCCTTTTATTCAATAAACACAACTTACTAAAACTCCAGACCATGCTGACTGTAGCGTATCAACCCAATAGTTCATTTTCTTTCCAGAATACATATCCACATTCCAATAAATCGGTGGTGTACCTGAGCCAATTAAACACTGATTTCTACCAGTACGTAAATGATACTGTAGACTGTCTAGTACTTCTTGAAATATTTGTCCCAAATGACTGTCACCAAATAAAACATATGCCTAAAATAGGTGATGATATGACGACTTAGAGCAAAGTTAAAAAACATTTGAAATCAAGTAAAAATAGAATTATATATATATATATATTATTATATTATTGTATCCTTTAGTTCCTAGAGGAACATAGGGCTTCAGCTGCGCACCTCCATTGACTTCGGTTTTCTGACAACTTTTTCACCCTGCTCCAGGTCTGCCCACATGCTTTCATCTCCTCTTCACATGACCTCCTCCAAGTCACCCTTGGACGACCAACTCGCCGCCTCCCTTTCGGGTTCCACTCGAGGGCTTGTCTAGTGATGTCACTTGATGGTTTCCTCAGCGTATGGCCAATCCATCTCCATTTCTTTCTGCCTATTTGTTTCACAATCGGTTCCTGATTGGTTCGCTCCCAGAGATCCCTGTTGCTGATCTTTTCTGGCCATCTGATCTTGAGTATTGAGCGGAGACAGTTGTTAATGAAGGTTTGAAGTTTGTTTGAGATGCTCTTTATGACTCGCCAAGTCTCTGATCCGTATAGTAGCACTGACTTCACATTGGAGTTGAAAATCCGGATCTTATTTTTGATGCTGATTGCTGTTGACCTCCACACAGATTTGAGAGTAATGAAAGCTTGTCTTGCTTTTCCGATTCTGGCTTTGATGTCTTCGTCAGTTCCGCCTGTAGTTGAGACGATGCTTCCCAGGTAGGTGAAGGAGGTTGTTTCTTTCAGGTTCTTCCCATTTATGCTTATTGTGGTCTGTTGTTGCTGTTGATGTTGGCAAGGAATCTTCATCACCTCTGTTTTATCTATGTTCACGTGAAGTCCTATCTTTGATGCTTCTTCTGCCAACTTGTTACTTTTCATTTGCATATCTTCCAGTTTATGGGAAATCAGACATATATCATCGGCGAAATCCAGATCCTCCAAGTCTTTTGTGTCAGTCCATTTTATGCCTGTTCCCTCGTTGGTTGCCGTTGTCTGTCGCATTATCCAATCAATTGCAATCAGGAAGATCATTGGTGATAGTAGACAGCCTTGCCTCACTCCCGTCCTCACTTCGAAGGCTTCCGTAAGTTTCCCGTTGTGGATTACTTGGCATGCAGCATTGTCGTATAACTGTTGGATGAGGTGTATAATTGTCAATGGGACCCCGTAGTAGCGAAGTAGTTTCCAAATGACCTCTCGATCGACGCTGTCGAAGGCCTTTTCAAAGTCGATGAAGTTGAGATAGAGAGGTGACTGCCATTCCAAGCTTTGTTCAATGATGATCCGTAGAGTGGCGATTTGATCAATACATGATTTGTTTCTCCTGAATCCAGCCTGTTCCGGACGAAGTTTTTCATCTAGGGCTTGTTTGATTCTCTCCAGGATGATGCGACTTAGTATCTTGCTTGGAATGGACAGAAGCATAATTCCCCGCCAGTTTTTACATTGACTTAAGTCTCCTTTCTTTGGAAGTTTGAATAAGTAACTGTTCTTCCAATCCTCGGGTACTTTGCCCTCTTTCCACACCTTCTCCAGTAGTGGTGTCATCAAGTCCGCTGTTGTCTCTGGGTCTATTTTCAAAGCCTCTGCTGGGATTCCATCTGGTCCCGGTGTTTTCCCAGTTTTAAGCATCTTGATTGCATTCAGGACTTCTGATTTCGTCGGGGGGTCAGTGTTCACTGGTAGTTCTGCTTCCGTTGTTGGTATTGCTGGACGTGTTGTAGGTGGCGGACGATTTAGAAGTCTTTTGAAGTGTTCAACCCAGTGCTTTCTCTGTTCCACCTCTTTGGTGATTGACTTTCCATTGTCGTCCTTTATTGGCTTAATCTGTGTCGAACGTTTGCCCGATAGGTGCCTAGTTGTTTGGTAGAGTGTGGCGAGGTCTCCTTTGCCTGCAGCTTGTTCTGCTTCGTTTGCCATGGTTTCATAATATTTTCTTTTGTCTTCCCTGGCGCTTTTCTTCACTCTTTTGTTCAGTGTATTGTATTGTTCCTTTGTTGACGTTGTTCTCATTGTTTGTCCGTCATTTTTTTGATTTTGAGGGGAGCAACCCAAAAAGTTGCTTCTCTCTAAACTTTTACTTAATGTAATCATTCTTTTCTCAGGCGTGAGGCTAGCAACCCCACCCTGCAAACAAAAAATTGCTACAGAATCTTCAGTATATATATATATATATATATATATATATATATATATGCATGATACTACTTTAAACTCTATACCTTAGTAGTAATAACCGATTTCCTCTACACACAAAAATATAATTCACTGATTAGTGAAAAATAAAATTTCATTTTACGATTCAATGTGCCTTTTTATTTCTACTTCTTCTGATTGACTGACTGGCTCAGTTGCAGTTTTGCACAGAAATGCACCAGTTCAAGTCTCCACACTCCATGTACTACACAAAGATAGAGAAAACAGAGAAAGGATCCAAGGGGGAGGAAGAAAAGAGACATGGAAGAACAGTAGAGTTTTATTATTGGATATGACCAATCACAAAGAGTGAATGTGTCTGCACCAGTCATTGAGAACGATTTTGAGCCATATCACCAATTGTCTTCAGCTTTCATTGGTTTCTACACCATCTTAATGACCCCAACCAGTCAGACAGCCAGTCTACACCTCCCAACCTGGCTGGTTATGAATTTCATTGACCGGTGAAGGTATGTGTTCTGGTTTGACCACCACTAGTTCTTTTCTAACCTGATCCTATGCCAGCTAACAACACCCGTCGAGAAAGGTGATGGCTAGAGCTTGTGTTGTGAGTGCCTAGCAATCTCTTCAAATTCATATTCACACCCTCATCGATAGATTTTCCCTACTTACCTAAAACTCAACCGAAATCTAACCATATCAATATTGATTATCCTTTTATACTATGTAACATGAAAGATAAAACACAGACACCACTTATGATCAAAGACAGCTAGCCAGGCTTTTCATGTTTTCCACTTCCAAAGGCTATGTCTCACTCACAGGCATAAAGTAGAATGGAGAGAACTGCTGAGCAGTACACAAGTGGTTTTATCAATAGCCAGTCAGATATCACGTCTACGTCAAAGATGGAATAAGTTAACAAGTGCCACTGTCTGGATTCAACATGGAACTTGGCGCCGAAGTGCAGCAGTTCGAGCTCCCACGTTCCAAATAGCACACAGAGGTAAACAAGAAGATGAGTGAAGAGAATCAATACAGTCTGACAAGTATAAGAGTGAAACAGAATGGGTAATGGTAGAAAGGAATATGAAACATTACAGAGACTGAATACATCTGCGCTGGCCATTGACAACGATTTTGAGCCATGTCACCTATTGTCTCCAGCCATTGCTTCTTAGAGTCAGTCCCGAGGCCCCCAACCCGGCAGTCTGCATCTCCCTACCTGACTGACTCAGTTCAACTGTCAAGGATTTCATGGATTGATGCCATGTTTTTGTTTGGCCACCACTTACCCTTTTCCAACCTGCACCTATACCAGCTAGTAATGCCCGTCGGGGGAGGCGATGGTTAGGCATGCGCACCACGTGACCTAGCCATCTCAATCTGTGTAACTTTATAGCCTCGTCGATTGATTTTCCCTCTTTACCCAACACTCTACGCCTAACGTCAACATTACTTACCTTATTACACCACCACCTAACGTGAGACAGAGATCGCAGACATCTATGATCGAAAGCAGTCAACCTTTTCATGTCTTCAACGCGTATTGGCCATGTTTCAGAGCCATAGAGAAGGACGGAGCGAACTGCTGAGCAGTGCACACGTCCCTTGGTTGATACGAACAAATGCCAGGCGAGTTAAAGAAGAGAAATTTAAACGAACTATAATAATGAGAAATGCGCGGGAGAAAACAAAATGGCAACATGGAGAAACATTAGGGTTTAGTGGATAGAGAAGATCACAAAGAGTGAATGCATCCCCACAAGCTATTGAGAACGATTTCAAACCATATCACAAAAGTAGACTCCAGTCATTGGTTCTTAGCATCTCGAGGATGCCAACCAGTCAGGAAGTCTACAACACCTCACCAACCATCAAAGATTTCAAAGACTGATGCCAAGTTTTGGATCCCACTTGTTCGATATATACAATATAGATTGTCAGTACACGCATGTACTTTGGAGGGATTACGCTTAACTACAAGGGGATCTTCATTTAAAGATATCTTTCGGAGGAATTAAAATCATACAAGTTGTATTCATTGGAAAAATCAACCAGAAAGAACTTTTTCTTCTCCTATTATTTGCATTCCATGTGCAGCATACGGCTTCAAGCTATTGAAGTTTCAATAGTAGCAATAGTGTTATCTTTAGTCTCATGCCCCAACATCTCCCGTTTTCTGGGATCATTATCAGTCAATAAAATAAGTAAAATTTAGGGGGGTGAGGTGTTAACCAAGAATCGAACTCGGACCATGTACATGGTTGTCGAGTGGGTAGTCTCTCTTTGAACCAGTGATGTACAGAAGCATAGTTAATTTAGTCGAATTAAGTCATAATGGAAGGGTAACTTGCTTTTTTTATTATTCAGTTTATTCCTTTATGTTCGAGTAGAACATAGGGATACTTCAAGCTAAAGCTTTGAAATTTCAGAATCAGAGGTTTTACTTTTACGCGCCCAACTTGCACTCTCTGCTGGCCCAATTGCAGACTCAGTGAAATTTAGGAATGCATCGGCCAGAGATCGAACTCCGAGCCACGTGAGGCGTGGTTGACGAGCGTCCTACTACTGAACCCCCAACGCAAACCCACACATAATGATATACCCATTGACTGGATATTTATACATACGTTTTCAGGAAAACCGAGAACACTTATCCCTGCTTCTTGTGAGACAAGACCAGCATGCAGTATCACTCTGTGAAGCAACCACTCAAGAGCCATCTCCCTAGGTGGACCACAGGCAATCGGTAGGAAGCTTTGGACCTAGGTTTCGTGCTTGTTGGCACTCACCAGTCAGCAAAGTTTACCTGCATTCTTGTAAGAATTCATTTCCCGTTGAGATTCGGAATAACATCACCCAGTGAATGCTGCAGTCATACGCGTCACTACTGAGCTATTCAGGTTCAATAGAAGGGTAACAAATGGAATAAGTTGCATAATATTGACAATTTCTAGCTCATTATGACAATATTTTCAAACATAGGTTGTTCCATAAATGTATTACATGCATTTATACTCTGTCTCAATAACAGAACTTTATGCTGTTAATTTCACAATTACTCTTAGCCACCTATGGAAGCCAATTAGGTGCGTGGAAAGATTTAAGCGACTATAATTTTCACCTTATAGGATGCATAAATTATTGTTACAAGAATATCATCAACACTGGTTTATTAAAGCATTCTTCTAATTACTTACATTTCATCAACTCATACCCAACTAAAACTGATGTAATAGTCATCTTCATGAAACAAGGGTATTAAATGTTATCAGTTTGGCAGGTGATGTACCACCACTAAGTCGGTCAGCTCGTTACTATTTTAGCCGACTAACTGTATTATGAATATTATACTGTACTGTAGTTGTACATTTTAATCTCGGTTTCACAATTTATTATTACTACTGTACTATCTAATCACCATGCGACAATAGTTATTCTCCCCTCTACACTCACTGTTGCCTAGATTATATAAACCCTTGAAAGAATTTATCCTTTGTTGTTATTACTATGATCATTCCGACCGCTATCGATTAATTCACATCCCTGAACTCTAATCCTACATTTTATTAGCTACATTCAATTCAAATGCCTATGACTACTAATATTCTACTATGTAAAAATGTAAAGCCTATTGAGAATTTCCCGAGAATACGCATTTGCATAAATAACCACCATTCCACTACCTCGTCTTCGAAAATGTGTGAGTCAGTGAGTCAAATCTTTCGTGTAACGGCAATCAAATGTTTGGTAATAAGATATATCTTGGGAAGTCCGCTGGCTTCGATTCTGGAAGACATTTTATGGGCACCTTAGAACAAACAGAAATAAAGGCGACAATCGATCAGACAGATTTCTATACCAGGTATATCGATGACATATCTGTCATTCGCGATTGTTTGAATGGCGCATCTCAAATATCATAATATGTCCAGAATATTCCTCATTGTAATATAGTTTACAATGGAGTGTCAAGATGAGGACAAATCTCACATGACTCATCCTATCCGTTTTATAAAAACATCTTTTTTCTGTGATTATATAACCTATTATTTTTGATACTCTTTCTAGTTAAACTTTATTTCTATCCATAAAACATTTGTTGGACTCGGTCCTTTTATTTTCAAGCTTAATCGGTCCTTTCCATTATTAATTATTTAACAAATTACATCATTCCCAACCAATGTTAGTCTTAGTTCTAATCGATTGCTCATTATCATTGTAAAAACAGTAGGTTCAGATGCTTAATTTAATTTATAATTTTAGTATTATTCAGGTTGTAACCAGTTGAGAAGAATCCACGAAATGATAGAAATAAAAACTTTAGCTTAGATTATCCTGGTACACTTGTCGCTCTTGCTTTATTCAAATATCCTACTACACTGTTGTACATGATTAAAATCGATAGCAATTATCAAGAGATCAATGCTTTGTGTTTAATGTATTTTGAAAAAACTTACCTTTTGTAAATATTCGAAAAATGAATCTTGTCCTGCACCAAGCCCACTCATTTGATTTATCCATTCACCAGTTTCTACATCAATTGTTGAACCTGTGAATGTTATAGAGCAAATGTTTTAAATGTTTATACATACAGCTATGGAGTTGAATTATGCCATAATTGTTACCATCATATTCGACACAACTTTCGACGCTATTAAGACTTACTTAAAGTTGATTTCAATGCAAAGAATGATACTTGGAAAGCGTCCGCGTTATTTCACAACCTCCACCAAATATTTGGGCTTGAAAAGAACTGTGGCTTAATTCTTTTTCGAAATGTATACTAAGTTTACACAGTACAATCAGGTGACAAGTTTGAAGATCATTCTTCATTGTTGAACATTCGAAACACCACTGTCTGAATCTGATACACGATCAATTCAAGGTCTATATTCTGATAAAAAGCTTCAAGCCACAGAAATGGTAACGGATAATGACCTAGCGCCGACAAGTGTTAGTCTTTACTACAATCCGTCAAAATGTGTCGAAATTATATTTCATGTCTTGACATTTGGCTGAAATTCTTTCTGCACTATTACAACAAGCCAGGACTCCTTGGTCAAATTGAAATGTCACACTAAGACGATATAGACATCCGATCAAAAATAATCAGACATGCCGAATAGCCAATAAACTATGTCGAATGTTTTATGGATTTTAATTGATACACATACGATCAAGCATGTGCCCATCACCACATCACCCAAATTCGAAGTCATTTATTCCGCTGTAGTCTCTTTCAATGGTTCTGATTTTCAATCGTATCCGAAAGTCTCTATTCACTGAGTTGTATGTTCACTTAGATATTTAGTAGGTCATGAACCAACATGACGCTAAGTTGTGGGGCAGTAACCTCCGAACTTAATCACTCAGTCACGTGGTAATGGGTTATGGTGAATGACCTTCGATTTACCATGAAAAAAAATACTGACACGTTTAACCCACACTAAGTCTGAACAGTTGAAGCAGCGCAGCTCTGATGAACGGATTCATCCGGAAATAAGTAACATTCTTAAAAGCTAATCTACACTAAGACCTGTAAATGTTATCACATGTAGAGCTGTCACCTTTGACTATGTGAAGTCTTTGTCAGGTTACAATACCACACCCAATCTTGCCTTACGCAGTAGTGTGCCAATTTTAATACTTCAAACAATATGATATAAATTAATTACGGCAAGATAGGCGATTCAAAAAATTAATCTCAACTTGATAATGAGATGAACAATTGATAGATCTTCTGTGGTGGATAAAAAAGAATTGAAGCTGATAATGTACAAGTAAAATTCAATCTACTTACCGAAGAGACCTGATACACTTGATCTTCTCTTCCACAAGTTTAAAACTATACGACGAGCGACTGACGCATAACTAGAATCATTAAGTAAGGCACTTAAGCAACCAAACTCCAACAATAAGGAACCAGCACCAGCAAGACAGTTTTCAGTGGTTGTATTATCTTTAAGACCAGAATCAAGATGAAATCGTGGGTAAGGGATTCCAGTTGGTGTATCCTTTAAAACACAAAGCATATAAAAAAGGCATCAGCATATTAGTCCTATCAGCGACCTGAAATTATATCCGCAAGTATAACTTACTCTGCATTACATACTATCTTTTATTAAGTTCAGTCACTGATTCGTTTTAGACAATGTGGGCACCAGAGGATGTGTCACATCAAGTAATCCAACATTATAACGAAAATAAAGCAGGTAGACTAAACAGACAATTACACTTATCGAAGAGCATTTAAAAGAGCGTTCATCGGCCTATATTACAACAGATACCTACGAACATTTAGTTGCATAAACTCTTAGATAACTCACGGATTTCAACAGCACTTAAAACTTTGAATGATTCCCATTCAACACTATATAGATGCTTAGGTTTTAACAGCTTTGTTTAAGTTCGAGACTAGGGTGACAGATGAAAAAATTGGAAGGATAGTTCATTCGCATACGTAAAAAAGACACTCTGCTTCGATACAACGACAGAATCATAACCTGTAAAGTTTCACATGCATCTAAACAGTCGGACGTGGCCAATTTACCAAAATGAAAACACCCTTATCTTACATCTATAGATGTATGTTCTATAGGATATACAAAGTTTTTAATTCTGTGCAGTAAAAATGACAGAACACAGTGCCACAGTGACCAAGTTTTATACTTATAACAAAATGCAAACTCAAAAGTGTATTACAAAAAACTTAATACTTTTCTACTTACGCGAACAGCATTCAGCATTCTATTAGCTAGATCACGCGCGTGATCCAGCAACTCATTGTCATAATCCGACGGCCGCAAATGTCCAAACATTTCATCGGGATCAGTCACTATAAGATGGGCAGACAAGAGACCTCCTAAAACCCTAAGTACATGTAAATAAGTATTATCTTACCTAATATTTGCTTCAAATACTTGAACTCTTGTGCTTTGATTGAAGGACAGATGCTTGATGACCAAACCAACAGCGTCTTTAAAATCATCAGTTCTCCCCATAACCTAAATGATAAACACGTAATCCCAAAATACTTACAGCCAAAGTGTCTAGGGAGTCCACAAGGGTTAATAAATAGTCGCCTAGAGCATCATTTACATTGATGTTATCAGGTTTTTCATGATCATAGCCACGACCAACGCAGTCAATTGGATTCAACTCATCAAACGGAAAGCCATGCTTCATATAACCATCATATGCGAAACTAAACATGGTATACACCAGGCTAGCAAGCGACCTTTTCTCACTACTTGACATTGTTGCATTTAGGAAACTTAGCCAACTCCTATGACTGGCTGAGTTTCCATAGTCATGGATAGATGGATTCACATGATAAATGACTGACAAACACAGGATAGCAACTCTAAGGCTAAACAAATGAGCAAACCCCATGGAAACCAAGGATTGATTTGCCCATCACTAGTTTAACATTCAAACGTGGCATTCCTAGGTCACAATTTCACGTAACTCTTGCGACTGATTAAAACAAAATATATTTTGAGTCAAATTGCCACGTTACTGATAAAGCACTCGTATCCTGTATGAATACTTTACAGTAAAATTTCCGTGTCTTTTGAAAGATCCATCAGAAATCCTAGACACTACCTTCTAGAGATGGTCTCCTGAATTACCGAATGGGCTAGTCGAGTTCTGAATGGTTTAATGGATTGTTCGCTTTTTCCCTATTATATCATTGTTTTACCTCATTTTTCTTTAATATGACTAAATTAGAAAGACTGCGTTTTCTTGAAGTCTCGGATACCTGTTTCTGTTGGCCTTTATCAGATATTGAATATCAGAGTTTCAGCCTTCCTATTCGTTTGTCGTACAATAATTTAGCCAGATTGTGGATTCCATGCCATTCACTGTTAGTCCTCTGCTCTATATGAAATACGTAATTTACACTAGATAGGTACTTTAATACAGTTTTATCCCTCGTGCTTCATGAAATTTCTTAACAGTAGTAAATATATCGCTCGTGGCCCAAGTGACGATAAAATATTCAAAAGTGGTGCATTGTGCAGTGATGCGTCCCACTTCGCATAGTTATTCTACCTCTCTGCAAGACTTTCTCAAGAATTATTTGCCTGCAGCGTTCATCACTCAACACTGGATGCCCCTTTTCACCGTTTAAGCCGACCTGCGCAGGTCTTAGTATGAAGTGTCCTATTTTCATTGCTACATGAGAAATTGTATCTTCTGACAACCACTGTCGTGATTGGATGTTAGTTCATATCTCTCCTAATCATTTTTTGTCTACTTGGGATTTGAATTTTCTTCTCTATCACTCAGCATGTACTTAGGGCTCATGTCCCTAATGTTTCAATGACATTATATATTCCTACCTTTGTGAGCGTTGTGAGGACATTGATTATATATTTCCGAAGAAACAAGTGATTTATCCTACTGGTTATGTTTGTTCATATGATCCAATACTAGCAGCATTTAGAGACTACACTACTGCATCTCTCACCTCAGAGATTGCATTTACCTTATCAGTGGAGTTCAAGATTGAACGATCAATTCATGGTTGTTTGCTCAAAATCAACTTCCCCAATTTTCGCGGAGGCATCAATACGACAGTCATCGTCTCATCGGTCGCTGTTGAGAAGGAAGTCAGGAGACAACTGTCAGAAGTGATATTGTGATTTATTATTGTAATATTTGTTCACAGACCTTAGCTGTAACAGTGTTTATATGTTGGTGTTACAATAAAGAATCCTCGAATCGCCAATTGGTCTTTTGGTTTTTGCATCCGTTATTACTAAGCGTCGTGCCAGAATCCACAACATTTGATGTAGTGATTGTACATATGCTTGTGTTAAGTAGTTGTGTGAGTTCCAATTATTGTAAATGTTGAATAATCTTGTTTGTGTCCGGACATTCCACAACTTACTATCGTCAACCTGAAAAGGTTTGTAGGCGTACTGGTGTAAGCCCTGCGATTCTTCAAAGGAATTCCATCAAGACATGCACTGCGAGTTTGTGTGTACTATTTGTATATACGTGTGGTGTGTCATATCAGTTGGTGTTTTTTGGATTCATTGTGTTTACTCGTTGTTTTCGTACCTTGTTTTTATTGCATAATTTTGTTAAAATTTTCGTCGTGATTACTTCCAAAGTTGTGTCCACTCTTCTACATCCATGAATGAATTGATTGATGTTAAGGACAGCAGATGGGTCATATACGCCGGGGAGGCTAGGCTATTGCTGAGAATAAAATGCACACGGAGATAATTGTTAGCTGCGGTCCCACACGCCGGGGAGCGAGAGTGTAAACGACTGAGGCTCGCATGCGTCACCGCTACTAGAACTGAGGCAGAATGAGTGACAAGCGATTGCAGTGGTAATTGGTAGTGAGTAGATAAGAGGATGTGCGTAGAGGATCGTGAGGTACTGCCATGGTCACTTTGCATTCTGCACGAGTCATTCTAGTAAGTGGCGATTGTGTTGCAAGATGTCAAAGGAGGTCTCTGTCTGGAGGCGCAGGTCGTCATTGATGTGTGAGATTGTGCTGTGGGTATGCTTGTGGTGTGCTGGCTTTTCTGTTTGTTTTCCATTTCAGCTCTGTCCGTGTGACCCAGGTTCTCGCAATGGCATCCAAGTCAACGTGCATTGGTCGTGAAGGAAAAAAAGGTTGGATCCCTTTTTTGCCGGGGAGTGTCAATGTAGTTGTCAATGGAGTTGAAGATTGAACGATCAATTCATGGTTGTTTGCTCAAAATCAACTTCCCCAATTTTCGCGGAGGCATCAATACGACAGTCATCGTCTCATCGGTCGCTGTTGAGAAGGAAGTCAGGGGACAACTGTCAGAAGTGATATTGTGATTTATTATTGTAATATTTGTTCACAGACCTTAGCTGTAACAGTGTTTATATGTTGGTGTTACAATAAAGAATCCTCGAATCGCCAATTGGTCTTTTGGTTTTTGCATCCGTTATTACTAAGCGTCGTGCCAGAATCCACAACATTTGATGTAGTGATTGTACATATGCTTGTGTTAAGTAGTTGTGTGAGTTCCAATTATTGTAAATGTTGAATAATCTTGTTTGTGTCCGGACATTCCACAACTTACTATCGTCAACCTGAAAAGGTTTGTAGGCGTACTGGTGTAAGCCCTGCGATTCTTCAAAGGAATTCCATCAAGACATGCACTGCGAGTTTGTGTGTACTATTTGTATATACGTGTGGTGTGTCATATCAGTTGGTGTTTTTTGGATTCATTGTGTTTACTCGTTGTTTTCGTACCTTGTTTTTATTGCATAATTTTGTTAAAATTTTCGTCGTGATTACTTCCAAAGTTGTGTCCACTCTTCTACATCCATGAATGAATTGATTGATGTTAAGGACAGCAGATGGGTCATATACGCTGGGGAGGCTAGGCTATTGCTGAGAATAAAATGCACACGGAGATAATTGTTAGCTGCGGTCCCACACGCCGGGGAGCGAGAGTGTAAACGACTGAGGCTCGCATGCGTCACCGCTACTAGAACTGAGGCAGAATGAGTGACAAGCGATTGCAGTGGTAATTGGTAGTGAGTAGATAAGAGGATGTGCGTAGAGGATCGTGAGGTACTGCCATGGTCACTTTGCATTCTGCACGAGTCATTCTAGTAAGTGGCGATTGTGTTGCAAGATGTCAAAGGAGGTCTCTGTCTGGAGGCGCAGGTCGTCATTGATGTGTGAGATTGTGCTGTGGGTATGCTTGTGGTGTGCTGGCTTTTCTGTTTGTTTTCCATTTCAGCTCTGTCCGTGTGACCCAGGTTCTCGCAATGGCATCCAAGTCAACGTGCATTGGTCGTGAAGGAAAAAAAGGTTGGATCCCTTTTTTGCCGGGGAGTGTCAATGTAGTTGTCAATGGAGTTGAAGATTGAACGATCAATTCATGGTTGTTTGCTCAAAATCAACTTCCCCAATTTTCGCGGAGGCATCAATACGACAGTCATCGTCTCATCGGTCGCTGTTGAGAAGGAAGTCAGGGGACAACTGTCAGAAGTGATATTGTGATTTATTATTGTAATATTTGTTCACAGACCTTAGCTGTAACAGTGTTTATATGTTGGTGTTACAATAAAGAATCCTCGAATCGCCAATTGGTCTTTTGGTTTTTGCATCCGTTATTACTAAGCGTCGTGCCAGAATCCACAACATTTGATGTAGTGATTGTACATATGTTTTTGTTAAATAGTTGTGTGAGTTCCAATTATTGTAAATGTTGAATAATCTTGTTTGTGTCCGGACATTCCACAACTTACTATCGTCAACCTGAGAAGGTTTGTAGGCGTACTGGTGTAAGCCCTGCGATTCTTCAAAGGAATTCCATCAAGACATGCACTGCGAGTTTGTGTGTACTATTTGTATATACGTGTGGTGTGTCATATCAGTTGGTGTTTTTTGGATTCATTGTGTTTACTCGTTGTTTTCGTACCTTGTTTTTATTGCATAATTTTGTTAAAATTTTCGTCGTGATTACTTCCAAAGTTGTGTCCACTCTTCTACATCCATGAATGAATTGATTGATGTTAAGGACAGCAGATGGGTCGTATACGCCGGGGAGGCTAGGCTATTGCTGAGAATAAAATGCACACGGAGATAATTGTTAGCTGCGGTCCCACACGCCGGGGAGCGAGAGTGTAAACGACTGAGGCTCGCATGCGTCACCGCTACTAGAACTGAGGCAGAATGAGTGACAAGCGATTGCAGTGGTAATTGGTAGTGAGTAGATAAGAGGATGTGCGTAGAGGATCGTGAGGTACTGCCATGGTCACTTTGCATTCTGCACGAGTCATTCTAGTAAGTGGCGATTGTGTTGCAAGATGTCAAAGGAGGTCTCTGTCTGGAGGCGCAGGTCGTCATTGATGTGTGAGATTGTGCTGTGGGTATGCTTGTGGTGTGCTGGCTTTTCTGTTTGTTTTCCATTTCAGCTCTGTCCGTGTGACCCAGGTTCTCGCAATGGCATCCAAGTCAACGTGCATTGGTCGTGAAGGAAAAAAAGGTTGGATCCCTTTTTTGCCGGGGAGTGTCAATGTAGTTGTCAATGGAGTTGAAGATTGAACGATCAATTCATGGTTGTTTGCTCAAAATCAACTTCCCCAATTTTCGCGGAGGCATCAATACGACAGTCATCGTCTCATCGGTCGCTGTTGAGAAGGAAGTCAGGAGACAACTGTCAGAAGTGATATTGTGATTTATTATTGTAATATTTGTTCACAGACCTTAGCTGTAACAGTGTTTATATGTTGGTGTTACAATAAAGAATCCTCGAGTCGCCAATTGGTCTTTTGGTTTTTGCGTCCGTTATTACTAAGCGTTTCTGAGAAACTTCAAGGAACAGCGTGAGCTCGAGTGCAGTAAGAGCTGGGCATTAACGGTTTACGAGATGTGACTGACA